ATTAAGTAAAACAAAGGGCAAGCAATTAGACTAATAGCCTCAACCCTGACCAAATCTGGAAAACAAGTCCGTGCTTTTTTTTTTGTGTTACGTCTGTACCAAATCTCACTCTATAGACTCAATAACTAGCTTAGCTTCAATATGTAAACACATTTTGATTTTCCCTTCTCCTCAAAATTTAATTCCATTTTTTCCGCACAAATTACACAGATCTGTTTTAATCTTAACACAGGCCAGTTGCAATTTCTCTGTTGGTTTCCTATTACGCACCCGAACCATCTACCTGCCTGCTCCTCCACAAAACCATCCAGCAGGACAAGTTCTGAAGAAAAGAGGCAAGGAGAAGAAAAGCAACGAGATGGTGATATTCTCTATGAAAAATATTTTCAGTGTTATAATTTTAAAGCAGGGGCTTTAAAAAGGGTCTTTAAATCAAGCTTTGAATGGAAAAGCAATTTAAACATGAACAGATGGGCTGTAGGGGTAAAGCAGGAAGGGTTCATTGCTGTCTGTTCCACCAAATAAAATCAACATGCAACACAGTTTTGATAAAATATCAAAACTAGTCCAGTCCTTTGGGAACTTGTTTTCTAAACAGTATGTAGCAGAACCGATCTGCACTTCTGAAGGGCACTTGATACTGCAACAGATAGGAAATAGCTTACACTGGGAAGGATAGGGATTACTCCATGAATTACAAAGGTAAGGGAGTCAGAGAGATGAAAGGTGATCTGCTTTCATCAAGAGGGGAGAGCTACTGGTAGGATTTTCAAGCATTGGTCTGGGACTACTCTTGTTAAATATCTTTGTGGCCTGGACACAAATTATAGAAGGTGTTACAGAAATTTGCTGATAGCACTAAGTTAGAGATGAACGAAGAAGAACAGAAAGGAGGAACTGAGAATATGTGCAGTGGAAAGAACATGAATACCCATAGCACAAAGTACTAGGGACAGTAGTTCTGGTAGAAAGAGGACAAAGAGTGTTACTATTGCATGAAGACTGTACAGGGACTTACAAGCATAGGGACCATTTGATCATCTGCTTTCAAAGGAAGATGAACCAAGATCAGCCAGGGGAGTACTTGACACCAGGATGATGAAATGGAGAGCCAAGAAGAGGCCCTAAGAGCTTGGCTAATTCACTCTTACAAAACACATGTTGGTAAGTCATGGTTACTCATACACTTGGACAAATGGTATCATCATGGAGAGACAGGATAAGAGGAAATGGCCTCAAGTTGCGCCAGGGGAGGTTTGGGTTGGATATTAGGAAAAATTTCTTCACCAAAAGGGTTGTCAAGCACTGGGACAGCCTGCCCAGGGAAGTTTTTGAGTCACCATCCCTGGAGTATTTGAAAGACGTGTAGATGTGGCACTTAGGGACGTGGCTTAGTGGTGGACTTGGCAGTCCTAGGTTAACGGTTGGACTTGATGATCTTAAACGTCTTTTCCAACCTAAGTGATTCTATGATTCTATGATTCTTAGTGGTAATGCCAAGAACACATTCATGTACAATGAACATAAATTAAGTTTAGATTCTAAAAGGAGTTCCTAGCCAAGGGAATGAAGTCAGGATAGCCTTCTAGGCATAGCATACCAGTTGATTTCAAGACTGACTGATACACATGACAATACAACCTGGCTGCTTGCAAGAGGAGTAGTCTGAATGCAGGGAAGCAAGACAAACCTTCTGGCCTTGTATTCCTCTGTGCAAAGGCTTCCACAAGCTTGGCACACAACCCATGCTCCTCGTTACCCACACAGCTCCTTTATTTGTTAACCCTTGTTTTTGCTCCCTCTGAGTTCCACCTGAGATCAGCTGAAATAGACTTCCAGAAATTTCAGTGAAAAAAATCACTGATATCGAAGCAGCAGTTTGGTTTCAAAAAAAGCACGAATGAATCTTGCTTCTTGCCCATTCTCTGATTTGTATCACCAGATGTCATTCATTCACAGCAAGGAATATTAGCAAAAAAACGTCAGGATGGTTGCCTATGGAAGAGGAACTTTATTTCACACATCAGAGCTTGTAAGACAACTGGAATCAATTATCTCCTGGCTGTTTTTAGCTTAAAAAGAAGGAAGGAAGGAACAAGACATCTTAATTACTGTTTGTCCTTTCATAACATCAGTCTTGTCACCATAGGGAGGAGATAGTTAATCACACAGAATGTGCTTCTAAACAGTGGCAGTTTAGGTATTTCAGGATATGTTTGTAGTCATTCCTGAAATTAAACTCAATGAATGCCAAAGCAAGCAAATGTTTCAATTCTTCATCCCTTGGGCTTTGCAGCTGTGATTGGTGATCTAAAACACATATCATCCTATTCATTAGCTAGACTGTTATCAATATGCCTCATTCAATCAGCCCTTCCATCTTCTACCCTTATTTCAATTCAGATCAAGTTCCAGGCAGAAACCAAATTCTTGGGGGAAAGTTTGTATTCAAACAACAAGCAAGTGAGCAAAAAACAGCTCGCACAATACTGCAGCGCTCCAGACACATATCAGCTACAGCCCTTGGCTGCACTGCTGGTATTTTTAGCTGATTTCCAACTGTATTTAGCAGACTCAAATGTCAACATCCAAAAACTAAACAGGAGTCTAATATTGCAGCTAGAGGAGTCAGGTACAGAAAGTATTTAAGTGTTGATACAAAGCTTTAAGCACTAATTTGTTAGAACAAGAGGTTAGGTATGCTTTTATCAACACAAACCCTTAATTCAGGTGCCGGTCACATACCACTTGTAAGATGTCCTGCATTGTGTGGGCTTCACCATTAACATTTTTATATTAGCAGTTAACGGATGTCAAGAGTGTGGCTGCCTCCTCCTGCACACGCACACTTGCGGGTCCCCCGAGCACCAGCACGGCCCCTCTGTCCCCCAGCACCCCTGCCCAGACCCTGGCCCTCCGACGCCACCACAGGTCCCCTGCTTGACAGCTGCTCCAGCTTGGTGCTCACTGCAAACACACAACACTCACACATACATCCCACGGGCACCCCGCACACATGGTCCCCCCAAAACCAGCACAGACCCTCCGCCCGCCTGATACCCCTGCCCAGACCTGGGGCCTCCTACTCACCCACTGGTCCAAGCTTGCTGTTTGCCAGTGAATACACCTGCACACCCCATGCACAGCTGGTTTGAGGAGGACACAGACGCTTGCCCGCCGGCAGCAGCCGGCACCAGGCACTGGGCTGTGACCCCTGCACATCGCCCCACCAGTTGGCACGGTCCCACCGACCCCCTCCAACATCCTGGACCCTCAGGCTTCCAGCCTCACCCATTGCAAAGTCCCGGGTTGCGGCATTTTCTTGAGAGGCCATCCACTACCGCGACTGACCAGGTTGGTTTGTTGTCAGTCTGTCAGGTTTGCATCCCTCTTTCATTCCTGACTTCCCCCTTTTCCTTAGCATCGCATTTGACAAGGCCCTCGAACGGATAACCTTTCCAAAATGAACGTTACCACATTCCACACACCCTTACCAATTAATGTGACCAACCAGGTCTGGTTCTTGTTATTGCCTCTCTTGCCATCTGTCAGTCAGGTTTGTGTCATTGCATGTTCTTGTTCATGTTGTCCCTCTTATTATCCCCTTCTGCATCTAAAGGTTCTTGACCAGAAATGCCTAAAAGACCAGCAGCTCTCTCCTTCCATACCCCTGGAAACTTTTCTACCTTTTCTTGAAATTCACTAAAAATGTCCCTATTCCTTTACCTGTCTAAAGAGCAGCAAAGGGACAAACTTGGCATTGGAAAAAAATGATGGACACTTCTATCTCAGTCAGTAACTGCTTTAACAAAGAAATCCCTCTAGTTACTGCATTAAGGGTCATGGATAGTAAGTGGGCAGTTTTAATTAGCAGCCATATCATGTCACTGGAAGTTTCCAACACTCAACTACCCACCTACCCAACCCTTCAATGGGTGAGCCTCAGGCTTTAGTTAAGGGGCAATAATGTGGGGTTTACATACAGCATATGCCACAGTTGCCTTCATATACATTAAGAAAAATCTGCAGCATGTTGTCAACTTGTCTAGATATTACTGGACATCTTTGCATAAAGGCTTCAGTATATCTTCCCACTGCTGCTGCTTGGATTTTCCCTGGCATGGTTGCTACTGAAGCAAGGCTAAAGGCATAAATACTGCTACACGACAGACAACACGAGTGCTTAGGAGACACATACCTTTTTCTAAGGTGACACCCTAACACTTATGTGTACTTACTAGTTCTGTATATTTCAAATTTTATTTCTAGAGCTTAAGTTCTGCACTCAGTACTGTTAAACTTGTAACACTGTCTACAAGGAGTTCAGTACCAAATGCCTTCTCCATTGATAACAGTTCAAAGGTGCTATTGTTCTTAACAACGATCTGATGACCACTTAACACAAGAGCATCAGAAAGTACATACACTTGTCAAGCATCACTGAGGCTTAGTAATGAGATACAGTAATGTTTTATGTGGGATCACAGTTTAAATCCTAGCACTCTTGACTTCACAGTTATTGAAGACAGTCCCATTTTGTACAATATTGAGCATATAGTGTAACTCTGGGAATCACAGCTGTGACTTAGTTAATGATCTCAATAAATCCTACTTAAGCAGAGACAAGAAGAGAATTATGCAAATGACTGTTTCTGTACCACATGTACTTGATAACTGAAGACATACCAAAATCAGCTTCAGCATACAAATGCCAATACTTTTTTAACCCACATACGTGAAAAATATGCAAGAGGGGGAACAGCTTACAGAATTTTATTTCTGAAGAGTTGCAGAACATTTATTACAAACAATATTAAAGGAAACATACAGAAGGCATATGTACAAAGAGGGATGGTTAAAAACCCAAGAAAGATGACAGATTTTTTCAAAGACAGCTGTGAATGTGACAAAGAATTACTTTTCTGAACAGGCCTTTCTAAAACATTATGGTTAAAGCCTCAGTACAAGACTGCTGCTTTCTTCGCACATGCATCAGCCAGTCACACTTGGCAGCTCGATAAGATGTCTTCCACCAGTCTCTTGTAGACCCAGGCATCACCTTTAAGCCGTTGTCGCCGGATACCCACTACTTCAGGTTTACTGAGTTGACACACTTCTAACTCAAACTCCGTAGTTACTTTGCCAAAATCTGACCGTGTTTGACATTTCAGGGTATAACTGTACAAAATAAAGGAAAACCAGAATAATTATTGAACTGTTTAATGTTTGTTTTGCAATGCAATTTTGAATTAATAAAAGCACTTTACAGAAATTATCCCATTGGTATTCAGAATATTGGGAAACAACCCAGAATTTAGTGAACTGAGAGCTTTGAATACTTTAGTCCCAGAACACTACCATTATGCCCAAGTACCAACATGTAGCACCAGTGTCCTACCCAACCATAGGATACCAAGGTATCCACATGATCTCCCAGTATTGTCTGATTTGGTCATGTGACTGTATCCTAACAAATCTTTTGTATTTACAATTTCACAAGAGACAGACAAAATTCACATCAGCCTCTAAGAGCTACCTCACTAGTATTGGCTCACATCTGTCAGTCTCAGTCAAAGAGCTCTATTAGAGCTCACTTAACATTGTTTTGTATTGTGTGGACAAGTTTTTTGCACACATTCATTTAGTGCTCTGTACATGTTCCATAAAATTATTGTATTTTACAATGTGGGGCTGAGAAAGTAAGTTTAAATACTTAGCTTTATCAAGGATCGGAGTACTGACTATTTAGAAAAATACAAGTTGAAGTCATATTTTACACTTACCCCTTCTGGACATATTCCACGTGCTTCTTTGAAAGAACAGTGATTATTTCATTCAACAGTTGGTCTGGATTCAGTAGCTGAGTGGTGGTAACATTATAGTGTGCCTAAAAGTAGTCAGCTCATTAAAAAAAAAGTGTCAAAGGAAAAAAAAAACACCCACAACTTACTCCTAAAACTGAAGACATTACGAAAAGTTTTCATAAAGAAAGCTTCAGAACAGCTAACCATAGTGACAAATTCTTCAACTTCTCAATATTATCATAATTAAGACAATGTAGTAGCAACAGGAACACTAAACAACAACTGCTGGACAATTAATATCGAAGCATGTCCAAAGTATAATCCATCGTAAAATCCAAAGTAGCAGTGATGGGCCAGGGCAGTACAGAGGTTATTAGAAGTCTTGTATGTAGCCAGAGGCAATTCCTGGACAGGACTACAGACGATCGCTTAGAGCATCCTACCGCACACTCCACAGCTGGGAGACTGCCGATAGTGTGTTGCCTAGCTGAGACTGAGCACTTCCAATATCAAGGAACGGGCATGGCGCCATGTGGCTTTTCTAGGGTGAAAGCATCACCACGTTTAAAGAAAAAAGGTAACCTACTAGTCATAAGTTTAGTGTTATAGGGGTTTTATATCACTTGTCCAGTAAGTGACTTCCTGAACAACTTTCAGACACCCATATGTAACGAGAGAAAGCGTATGCCAACTGTAATACGCCACAAATGCTCTATGTGGCTTCTGACGTCGCAGAAGTAGATAAGAGAAGACAAGACTATAAAATAGCTTGAGAAATGAACACAGGTTGACGATGCAAAGTCAAAGACTGGTTCTTACAGTTCTTATTCAGCCTAAAACGTATGCAACTCCCTGCCGTAACTGCTGTAGCACTGTGAAATAAAGTTCTATCTTCCCCTATTGTACTCCAGTGTCCCTAGACATGCATCAGTAATTTTGCATATACTACAGACAAGAGAAACTGATGCAGAAGGATAAAAGCTTTTAGAGACAGAAGATCTAGCTTTTGTTTCCAATTGCTCAGGTTCCTGAATTATTTGCACAGTCTGGACTCCTGTCCGATGAGTTGGTCAGGTTTGTAGCCAAACATGTGTCCTGAACTTGTAAGACTGCCACCTTGCCTCTGACAAGTGCCTCTTGGAAAAGCTTCCAACTGGAATACAGTAGCTGAATTCCATTTACACAGGCTGCAAAACACAAAATGGTCCTTTTACTGATAGACAGCTCTTACTGTACAGTAGGTGTCCTAACAGCTGCAGCTCCAGGAGCCAGTCAGCTGAAGGTATACATCACTTATTTCTATGGAACTGTTTATGCCTCAGTAACAGCCTTGCCTCATTCATGTTAATCATGTTTTCCAAACATGTTATCTACAGATTCAAGTATAAATTCCTCCGTGTATAACTTTTGAAGTATATTAGTTGCTTTTGAGTGATGTATACAATTCTGTTCACTACACTAGTATTATGCCAATGCCATTTGATGTGTATTCTACAAAGCTGATATTAACCACGAGTCAACTTTGGTAGGTACAAATTATTAATGTGATTTTAAAGTGCTCTGTGCAATGCGCTACCCGAGGAACTGCTTTTTCTATGGCTACTTAAATAACAAGTAGCTGACTGGCTCAGAGGCAGTGACATCAAAACATTAAACAAAATTATGCTGACAGAAATTCTTTCATAAGGTGTAGTTATTTAAGCTTTAAGTTTAATCTCAGGTTCTCTTGACACCTAAAGACTATCTTGGAACAGACATATCACTCCTGGACTACCTAAACCTAAGCCAGGAATGTTATCAAAATTAATTATTTTTTTATTTTTTTTTTTTTTTTTTTTTTTTTTTTTTTTTTTTTTTTTTTTTTTTTTTTTTTTTTTTTTTTTTTTTTTTTTTTTTTTTTTTTTTTTTTTTTTTTTTTTTTTTTTTTTTTTTTTTTTTTTTTTTTTTTTTTTTTTTTTTTTTTTTTTTTTTTAGTGGGAGAGCTAGCAGTATATCTCTATACAAATAACACGATTAAAAAATTTCAGCTAGGGTTCCTTTAAAACCATCCTGCTTCCCTCACGTTTGGTTTAAATGGGATATAAAAAGCAATGGCCAAACTCCTCCCTTGATCTCTTGGTAACTTGCCTGAGCCCAGACTAACACGACATCTCTTGGCAATAACTGGGACATTACTGTGTTAACAGAATGCAGTAAGAGCAACTGCACTTTACTGTAGAATGCAGGCAGGTCAGATCACAGAAGTTTTCACCAGACCATTTCTAAAGGTATTGGATGTTTTCAATAATTATACTTCTTTTCATTTAAGATTTTTCCAGCAACAATACCTTAAGTTTCCTTGGACGATCTCTGGTGGATCGTTTCTTTTTGTTTGGCGTAAGCATTGTGATCACTTTATCTAGGCCTCTTTCAAGACTTCCGAATATTTTGGCTTTTCTCTTCTTTTGGCTGCTATCCACGTGAGCTAGGTTGAGATCTAATTCCACTGAATGAAACCTGTTACGTGAACAAATTAATCAGTTAGTTATTTTTCCTCAGTGTTTAGAAATCAGTTATTTCAGATATGTCACTAAAATATTACCAGACCTGACAGAATGAATAAAACCAAAGTGAGTATTACGAGAGTTTCTGTGTGAAAGTCAGTTGAGATTTAAACCCAGAGTTGTATATAGAAACTGCAGCCCTCTGGGGAACTGGAGTAAGAAGGAACTTACATTATGGAGAATAGGAATATATTCTGAAGATAACCAAGTTATAGTTTCAAAACTTTTCTCTGCTTTCAGTGTTTTCTAGTGAATGCAGAAAGAGGTTTTAGGAAGGTTTTTACCAAGAGAATGGAAATAACAGCTTGCTGTTGTAACAAGACTTTCTAGGCAGTACATGGATTAAGACGGTCCAGCTCTAAATGAGAAGTGTACGCAAATAACTGGACATTTACCTTCTTTCAGGAAGAACCTCAGCTGCTGTCAATTCATCTGTGTTTGTCGGGTTTGTGGGTTTCTTAATTGGGGTGACTGTAGTGAACTGGCTCTCTGAAAGAAAGCATCCAAGCCAAAGCAGGTAGTTTTTGCATAAAGGATTTTCTTTTCTTCAGCAAGGATTTCTCATGATTAATAATTTCTTTCTAAAACCAGCCCCTTTTTCTATCTCAGATCTGTATCTTACACATGACAAAATATGTTTTTAATGTAATAACAATACCACCCCTACTCTACAATGAAAAACTGCAACTGATTTCCCCAGGGCTTTACAAGTCAAGCCTTAGAGCAACCAATGCGGTTCAGTATTAGAAATTTGGAAAGGAAGAGGATTAGAATTGCTTTCCTGCTCTGCCACTCGTCCCAGAATAAATGCTGAGCAATTCATTGTCAAATAGTTGCGTTCTTCACCAAGCCATTTCCCTTATATGAAGGGTGTGATAGTACATAACAGCCTAAAAAGTTGTTACCCATACGTTGACAGAGTTCTGCAGAGCATGCTTTTGCATGTGCAGAAGCAAACACCAAGTGAAACAGTCAGCAAATGAGGTGTTACAATTAAACCCAACTTCAATGTTCGAAGTTTCAGCTCTCTACAGAATTCCACCTGGCCCCAGACAATGATGATCTCAAAATTTCCAATGGATACTTCCACTTTTCTATCCCTAAGAAAGTATTAATACTACCTTTCCTGAATCAAAGATCTTTCAATGAAACAAAGAATTAGCTTTTAATTGTTTAATCCTCAGAAATACCTCACTAAAATGAGCTGAAACAGTGTTTCTGCATTTCCCATTTCAGAAAGAGTACCTACTTTTGCTTTTTAAACTTACCATGAAGTCAAACGTCACAAGTTAGTGCATACAAACTTAAGACAAAAATCAAACTCATATAAACAACTAGTCTTTGTAGTGTTCTTCCTTAAATCCTTTACAAAGGATGTCATTGAACAGCAGTATGTCCAAGATCCCTTATTGGGGATTGAATCAGCCTGCAAAGACTTACTCTTTCTGAACAATGTTCCTTAGCATCTGAAACAGAAGAGTCTCCTATTGTAAGGAGTCCTTGGCATTTGAAGGACAGAGTTAGCATTTACAATATCAACACCAAAACTTTTATGTTAATGGTTGAAGGGAATGGTAATGTACATACAGGATCCATCATTTTTCATAAGAATAGACTAGACAGGTTGAGGACAAATTTCTGTTAACTCAGAAAGGCTGACATAATTTAGACAGATTTCTGTGGTCGGTCTATCACATAACTGTAAGATCTATACATGGTTAACAGAAGTATTTTCACTGCCACACTGGACTGTTACTGTGGAAATGCTGATACACTACCTTGAGAAATCCAAAAGTTAGATTTCTCTTAGAAGAAGCAATAAAAGCAGACTTGACTAAAAGTATGCCTTTATTTTAACTCAAGGTAGTAACAAAGGAAAAACAGAGTGTTGAGGAAATTGTGTTCTCAGCCTTCAAGGAAAACTGGAACCAGACGCAAATCTTAAGAACGCAGCACTTGGCTCCATGGCAGAACGTGCCAAAAGGCATGCACGTGCAATACTGTAAGCAGCAATGACTTCTGTAATTAACATACAAGTAACATGGCCTGATGTATGGTTAAACCTCTTGCAGCACCTTAACCAGATGTACTACAACCACCAGGCTGGTGAATATGGCAAAAAAAGTTAAGTCTTCCAGAAACAGATGTGCTGTATACTCAAGTAGTGTGTTTGTATTTTGACTGACAATTATTCCTAAGCAATGTATATGTTCTAAGTTTTCATTAGTTACATTCACCATACCTTTGAAGGCAGGTGCCTGAAAGGGTATGGTTTGTACTTGCGTCTCAATCTGACTCTTCGCAAAAGGAGTCTTCGGAGCAGGAAGCGCAAAGGGCATTTCATTTCTTAAAGCTGACTCTGTATCAACATTCTCTTTGTTTTCATGCTGCTTTGATGCCACTTTTCTTGTCACTGGAGTTGACAGTGTGAATTCTGTATCATCCAGTTGAGCATCATGCCTTGAATGCTACGAGAGATGTAACAAAAAAAAAAAAGGCGTCCTTTGCTGTATTCTGATCACATTCAGAAATGTTACAGACAAGGAAGTTCTAAAATTGAAGCAGCTTAAAAATACCATACAATGCTTGTCTATTGAGCAAAATAGTTAAAAATTCTTCAATACCTCTGATTCCCTCTGTAAATTGCTCATAAACATCTCATTTGCCATTTCTTTATCTGCTCTTCTAAATTCTTCAGCTTGCAAGTTTAAGACTATTCCTCACCAGCTCATCTGAACACAGCTAAGAATTTTCATTTGGTTTAACTATCATTTTAATTGCTTCATTGGATTTTCTTGTCCAATACAGACAGGCTGAACTTCTTCAAAGACTTGTCCAGCTATAGCCTAGCTCAAAGATCTTGTTTGCTGTACCTTATTGTTTTCCCATCAGCTTTAAAATCCTCATTGCCTCGTACTCATTCCCTATAAGCTCTTTTTATGCAAACCAAATGTCAAAGCTCAAGTCCTCATCAAATGAATCATGACTTACAGCTAGAGGAAGCCACAATTTATGTTCAGCTATACATTTAAAACATTTCTTTTCTCAGTTTGTAACTCCCCTCGGCCAGGGTCCACCAAATATTTAAATATATAATAAGTTTTATGTACAATGAGAATAAGATTTTTTTGATTAAGAATAGTAATTATCTTTTTTTTTAAAGTAACTAGTATTTATTCTTTATACAACTGCTTTGTTCTGCGAGTATTTAGAATAAATTCTTCTAACGGAGATTCTTCAAACAGTGAAGCTGCATCAGAAAATTCCATGGATCCAAATGCATGCGGCACTTCACTGCAGTCTGGCACATCTTCATGTGTCATAGTTTTTTCAGACTGAAAAGAAAGATTCAGTTGAGATTCCACTGCACTATTAAAAGGAAGATTTCATCAGAAAAGTGTCATTAAAATCTAAATCTAATTTCTTTCTAAGTTCCTAATTATGGTTAACAGCTAATGGAAGTTCCCATGCCAGTGACCTAAGTTTTATAATATGACTTTAATATTGTCATTGTGGATTTGTCATTTGTATCAAAAGCAGATGTGAAATTATTCTCAAAGCACCATTACCGAGTCGTCTTTCATGACCTGTCTCAAGAAGAGAAGCAACTCACAAAAAATACCTGCTTTGTATTTCAAGACTTCGACCACAAGCTCTTTTCACCAAAAGCCAAATAAGCTGGAAAGAACCCAAGAAAAGAGTGCAGTAAAGTCCGAAAGGGGGCTGGATAAAGGTAAACACATTACATCCAAAACATATGATTATGGAATCTGCAACAGTACTTGAACTAGCATCCAGAAGCCTTCATCGAATTGCTAGCCCTGGAAAAAGTTGTCATTTATTAAATCACAGGATTCATAACTTCAGCCAAGATTGCAAACCTTCATGGCGCACACCACATACAATCAGAGGTATATCACAGAATATATCACAGTATTCTTAGTTTCTAACACCTTTTGTTATTTTCAGGAAACTCTTCCCAAGGACTTGTTTCATACCACTTCAGTGAAATTGCATACAATATTTTAAATGATCAGTTCTCAGCTGGAATGGATACCATTTTAGGAAGCTATGTTCTGCTGGCCGGTAAGTTTCTCTTGGCCTATGATCAAGGCTATTGCAATGATCAGATCTCTCATTACTACTGGAATAGAAACAGAGATTCCCAGTATGCTACCAGACCTACTAAAATGACTTACTAAAAAGCCCTCACCAGAGGGCTGCTAGCTACAGCCAAGAAGCTAACAGCCTGATATTGCAGTTGAAATCATGTTCCATTACAATATGAATGCCTGAATAGGATTCCTTGGCTACTGTATTCCAGAAGAAAGTCATGACATGGTGAATTTTTTGGAATATCCTTGTACATCAAACTGCTTGAAATAAGGCAGTATTATGTACAAGCTTGTGTCACCAAATTCAGAAACTGGCTAAGATAAAGGTGCTGTTTGCTTGATTGACTTCACATTAGACCAGCTCTAGCTAGAGAACTTTGCCAGTTGGGTATTTCAGCAAATTCAGTTGATATTCACTCACAGTATCTACATGCAGGTAAGTTAAATGTGCCCTGAGCACTGTAGAAGGACTAATGGATTGTTGTGTTGTGTAGACATGATTTTCACAATCACCTGTGAAAGCATAATGCATACGTTAAATAGTAGCATTAGCCAGATCAATTTACCTAGGACACGACTAGAGATGAAGTAACTTCACAGCATCAGCGCTACTGAACCTAGAGAACCTCCACCTTAAAATCATCTGAGTGTAAAAGACTAACCCACCATGATCATGGAAATCACGTTACGCATATTCAGCAACACTTACGATTCATGATCTGTTATGCAGCACTGGTAATCTTAAAATTCTCATCTGCGTTTCAAAGCAGTTTTATGACTGAACTGAAATTATTTACATGCGATTGAATCAGATGCAGGAGAAAGTATTTATTCTGAGTGCTTGTCTCTATGTGGAGATTAGCACATTTAGATAGCTAGTTAACAATTTTACACAGATGTCTACAGTTCAAGGGGGAACGGCTAACAGGAAGCCTGCAATTTTACTGAATGCTTTTGAGTTTGTCAAACACAGACGAGTATCACCGACATCACATATAGCTGCATATTATATATGATATTGCAAGCAATTTAGCAACTTTAGACAAGTTCTGAAGTGCCCTATTTGCACTTTGCTACCAAACCACAGGAACAGAAATTACCATAAGATATACAAAACCGCTTCATCAGAAAAACATCAGCAACGTTTCCTTTACTCAAAGTAAACAGAATCCTCTCTGGGATTGTGTTCTAAAAGGATGAGGAAGGAATGGGTCTCTCCCTTTGACCATCAGCTCATGTAGTGTCCATGTCATCTTCAAGTAGGCTGCCCAGATGACATGCCAGGATGTTTCAGAAGACCTTCCTTACTAAGCCATGCTAAATGCAACTAGCACGGTGCAAAAATATTTAGAGACTAATGTGAAAGAGTGTAGTAAGAAGGTAGGCATCACAGAGGAAAATCTGGAATGATCACGTAGGCCAGACAATGGGCAATTTTAGTCCATTTCCATGAGTAGCCAACAGGAGATTCTGTGCAGTACTCATAATGCACCATGTCCTCCCAGATAGTTATTCCAGTAGCATCAATTTGTAGAAGCAGCCCAGCTTGCTAAAACATGCTAATGAGGAGACTGAACTGTTTAACGACCAAGACTTTGGCTGACTGCACACATGCTCTCTTACTGATGTTTAGGGCACCAGTCTGTTTTCCTAGGCAGAGCTTTGTTAATGCAGAGCAGCGTTTTAATCAGTATGTTGTCCTCTTAAACTCAAAAACTTACCTCGAGGCCTGCTGATTGTGCTATACTGGCATGCCCTGTTAGACATGGAACCCTTAAGCGAACACGCTTGCCACGAGCCTTCTTGGATTGAAGCAAGAGATATGTTGCTGACATTTGGTTGTATTTCCACTGGAAGGGGGAAACCAAAAGAGTATTTTAATCTCCTCTTCGGAAACAGAGAAAATTGTACTTCAAAGTACAAAGCAAGTTAAGCCTTCTGAAAATTTCTGTGTTTCTGCAAGTTTTTCTACCTGATGTGCATCTCTAATGTTTGATCACCTAACTGTAATTTCAGACTTCAGTTGATTCACACTATTTGTTAGAGATCAAGAAACAGACTATGGTTGTTGTTCTTTGCAAGTCAGTCTGTGGTACGCTCACTAGTGAAAACTAATGCTGGGGCCAGAATCTACCTACTGAAGTGAATGGCAAAGCTATTAATTCAGTTCAGCCAGTATTTCAAAGAGAGTCTCAATTTTTTTTGAAGTCTCCCCCCTGTTCTTCCCCCATGAGCGGCACCAACTTTTTGCATGATTTTCAACAACTTTGCTTGTGTGAGGAACATGGGTACAATGCTTGACAGGTTTGCAGCATAGTACAATTAGTTTGAATTAGGTACAAGGGATTAGAAGTCCTCCAGTAAAGGACTATGCAAATGCCACAAATCTATTTGTAAGGACTCTTCCCCACGTAGACAGATTATTCAGATTATTTCCTACAACTGAAGAACAAGTAGCATTAACTCCACAAATCCATCTTAAGTATCACACACGTTAACAGACATGTTAAAAGTCTGTTTCTACTACAGTTGCACGGAAACCCTAACAGTTTTTCCAAAGCGAAGAACTATGTCACTGCTACCACGTACAAAGAAGCAAAAAATTCAATTTCAAGGGAGAATTTTCAGATTCAGGTTAAAGCTGGAGTAGGCATCATATTTTAAGTCTCTTCTACAGCTTGCAATGTCATTGCTAACATTTGTACAATTCTTCTAGAAGTAGTGAGTCCAACTTTTGTCATTTGTACTCAAAAGTGACTAAACATATTCACTTTTTTTAAAAAAGTGTGAATAGTAACTCCCAAAAACATATTTTATAGTCTGGGTGATGCTCTGATATTTTTCTCTTACTTTTTTTTTTCCTCCTTCTTATTGAACCACTTGAAAGCAAAGAGTTAACCCAGCAAACGGCATCTGTTGTTCAACTATAAATTTCTGAAGTCTATTTTGACTTTAAGAGATTCAGAAGGATTTTACCATGGTGGGAAATAACAGTAAGGATTAGGAAACATCACAAGCACAATTAAAGGAGGAAAAGGTAAAAAACAAATTTGAACTGCAGAACTGTAGTTATAACCTACAGCTAGATTCCGGAGTTCTGCAGGGGCTCCTTAATTCTGAAAAGTATTAAAAATTTCATACTTGAGAATAAGTGAGCATTAGTCTGTTAATACAGTAAATTTATTTACTGTATTACTGTGTTTAATTACTGTAAGTTACTGATATATACTTCTTACCTCTGATATTAATTCGGATATACTCTCCCTGCTCTGTTTATGAAACACAGAAAGCTCTATCACGCAGTCTTCATCAAGATGTCCCAGCTGCAAGAACATAACTGATATTGAAGCATGAGGCTTTCAAGTTGTCTCATAATCCACATCTGACTATGACACTGTCATGAAACCCAGTGGGCTGAGTCAATAATCAACCATGATTTTAGACCTTGTTATTTTAAATAGTTAGCATCATAGCTAAATATTGTAGGGAACAGACTGAAAAAGTCATACAAGTTCAACAACTTCACAGTCTGGCCCCTCCTTGGTGAGAGGTTGTGAATTCAAATAAGAAAGCCTGACAGCAGATGAGATTTTTACTAGAATGGAAGCTACACTTTCATCTCTCCTTAAACATTCAAAGCTATCAGACATGCACATTTTTTCTAGAGCCAGTTAGAACTCATCTGCAAGCACAGTAAATCTGTTCTTTATCTAGAGAAACAGTGGCATCCAGTGGCCAAACGGAGGCATTGGCTGCAAACATGCAGGAACTTCTCCTCAGTACGTACTACTGACAGCTAGATTATTTTATTTATTTCCTCTCCATACTATCTTAGTCTCTCACATAAGTAAAACAAGTGATAGAGAGACAGGACAGACATACTCTCAATGAGGTCAAATTTTTATTCAAACTAGCAATTTTCAGTGAGGACTAGATACAAGACAAACCATAATCCTGTCTAACATGCTTTCAAGAATATTTGCGTTTTGCACCTTAAACGAAGTTATTGACCAAGCAGCCTAGAGAATCAACTGGTCATTCATATGTGGAAATACTTCACATTTTGAAGATAAGTCAGTTATTTTACAAATTAAGCATCAGCTGCAGAATACAATGAAAACACATTTGAAACTCCTCCTCAAGAGAAATCGAGAGAAAGTAATAACATTTGGCAGCAGGAAGAATCAGAAAGGAACCACGGCCACCTCAAAGTTCATCTTTGGAGAAATGTCTTCACACCCCCACACTGTGAGGACAGTAGTAAGCCAGTAAAGATTACATTAAATACTTTCGTATTCATCTAACAAGTGTACTTACTGGGTATTTACTTTGCCACTGAACAGCATCAGAATAACCTTGCATGAGCCAAGGGTGACTTAATAGATGTTTAACTGTAATCCGCTTCTTTGGGTCCACCTAGTGGGCAATAAAAATCAAGCTGATACTTAAATCATTGAGAACTGAAGAAAATTTGTCTTCTACTCAGAATTTTAGGGAGGATAGAAGCTCAAATGGAAACCAGTACTGCTTCATAGCTTCACCAAAAGGAAGGTCAAGCACATGAGCTATGAAGAGCAGTTATAGAACCTACAGTTACAATAAATGTTCCAGGAATATTTAGCATTGGCTAGATTACTTAAATGTAGCCCAAATGCATATTCAGTATGTTTAGCTTCATTTATAAAACAGCTTTTATTTATATAGCATAATTAAGAACAACCAAATGTGGGCTGTTTGAAGACTTTGTTTAATCATTTAAACTTTGTTTAATTATTTCTATACCCAATCATTCTTCTCAAAGAATTTTCAGCAGAAGGCAATATTAATCTTTTCTTCAAAAATTTGTAAGAATTAAACTTCTTGTTTAAACACTGAATATTTTTTAAGTATTTCATTAATGTAATGTTTTGACCTATGCAACAGTACTTTATAGACCTGCTGAACAGAAGCAATACCTTTACCTGCAGCATTTGGTTAAGTAGTAGCGTACTGCTAGGAGAGAGCCACTTTGGAATACTGTATTTTCCGCTCTGCAGAAAAAAAAGGATTTAGAATGAACCTTGAACGGCTAGCTCAAAAGAAACTGCTGAATTACTTGGATGATAGTGACATCTGTATTTGGTCAAAAAGGAAGAACAGCAGGCACATGCAAACTTAGCTTTAAGAATGACTTGAATAAATTTAATGGTAGTACTAAACCCCAGCTGTATTAGTAAGGAAAATGCTATGTTTGAATTATCAGCTGCAGTTTTCACCCACTTAGCTTGTGTGACATTTCCATCTCAGTCCACTTTTGCAGCTAACCTGCTCCCTACCTATTGCATGGTTTCATCATATCAACTTGATACCAAAGTTTTATAAGTGCAAACATGTTGGAGCATGAATGACTGATCTTAGAGGACTTTTGAATGCGAATATTCATTGAAATCACTATTTTTCAGACACTAAAAATAAGCGATCCTCAACATTTAGCTATTCTTTTTTTGAATAGGTTACACCTAATGCTACAGTTTTGATCTCTACTCATACTGCAGACAGGAAAAAGGTTGCAGATCTAACAGGTAAGTTTCTTCCAATCAAATGATTTACTGGGGTTTTTTTTAATGCTTGATTAGAAGAAAATTGAAAATGGCTTTCAGATTTGAGGTACAACAACACTAGCTAAAAACCTAACCAAATTCACCATCAAGGATCATTTACTTCTCAATGAAAATGCAGAAAAAAATAAATAAAAATCAGTAAACAGCCATTGTGAAATAACTATCAATTTGTCAAGGCAGCTTTATTTCTACAAATGCCTCAATAACAAAACAGTTATTATATGCAACATACATTTCTAAGCAGAGTACGTATTGCTTTGACATCACAAGTTAAAGAATTTAAGTTACATCTTTACAGACACTACTAATGAGCTATTTATAAATAGTTTGTAGGCTGTTTCACAATGCAGCTTTACCCTGAAACTAAGCCAAGACAAGCAACACATCAATCTACATTTCGTTTTTAATATATTGCTACAGAACATGAGACAAGGAAAAACAAAATTAGCATCTATCTGAATGAGGGCAATGCTGGAAAGTAAATAGCTTGCAATAGCTACCAGATGCGTAAGATCACAACAGAAATAAGTTTTTTTTACAGAAGTTACATCACATGCTTCATTTTTCATTCAAAAAGTACAGGCATGTATTCAAGCATTCCCAAATGAAGAGATGTGGAACGTTCCAGGGAAGGAAACATTGCATGTAAGTCATACAATCCTAATTAGATTCAAGCAGCAGATTATTACATTGACTTGGAACAATAGTTCTGAGTTGACATTACAATAAATCTCAGGATCTATAATGTGTGAAATTAAATTCCACAACAGTGCTTAAGTGTCCTCATTGCAAGTAATTTTCAGTTCACAATCACATAAAATTAAAACAAATTCAGAGTGGAAATAGCAAGCCTGCATCTTAACACCTGTGACATTATTGGTTTTCGACTGCACACAGACTAAGTTCTAAAACTTGGTCGTCTCAATTCACTTAAACAAGTTTCACTGGCCAACTTTCTGTCAGTCCAAACAACTCAGCTCCTAGTTCCTGTGCATGTTAGACAACTATAACTATGCGGAAATCATCTTTGATAATCTTAGGATCTCTGTTCCACATTTAAGCTCTCTGTTCACGTTTCAACTATTGACAAGTTTAAGAGAATGAATACCATAACCATCATTTACCAGGTTCTGCATCTTGGCATAATGACCAGCATAAAGGATTTTCTGTCATCCTACAAAAGTATGCTTATAAATAGACAAGTTCTCAAGGTATACTAACCTTACGGGTAGACAATACAGTTCACACCACAAGCAGAGAGCGAAAGGTAGCTCAAGTCTGATTGACAACCTAGTTGATTCCCCTTTATAGCAATTTTACAGAGAAATTGCAAGTGCTTGCATCTGGACAATGCTCTAGTCATATGGTTTAGTTTTAGGTAGTCATGCGAGGAGCAGAGTTGGACCCAATGATCCTTATGGGTCCCTTCCAACTCGAGATATTCTATGATTATGCAAGTAGGAAAGTCATATCATTTTAATGACTTACGTGAATATCAGCACCTTTACATGATCTCTTTGGATCCGCTAGCCATTGCTGCTCTTTTTTTTTTTTTTTTTAAGTTTTTTTTTTGTTCTTTACAACAACTCAAACTGAGCTTCCTACAGATCTTCTGTCAAGGTACTCAAGTCCACTCCAATTGCAGACTAAAAAGCCATGCTGTTTGATGAACTAATCCTGCACTTTATAGAGCTCTGATTGTTATGCACCCTGAAAACACTCCCTGTGTAGATCAGCTGTCAGTTGCCTCCTACCAGAGTAGTCCTTGGACACTCTCAAGGAGGTTTTTTGGGCTTTTTCAGACATATCAGACTCTGGATGAGAGAAGGAGAACGAGGTAGAGGAAGCCAAAGCCCTTACCCAACACAGCTACTCCTAACCCTGCTCGCTTACTGGAAGCTTTATCAACGTAAATTTTACAGCAGCTTAGAAGTGATTGGTAGAGATGTGTGTATGAAATGGAACAGCAGCTGTTCAGCTGCATCAGGAGGAGTTCATAGGGAAACAGAACCAATTACTGAATTCTATTACTTACTATTTATTCAACTTTTTCTGTTGATCATGGTGTCTTACATTTCCTCCTCATTTTTGAGGGGGAAAGCATAATAGCAGATGCAGAATCCTGCTTTTCCTAGACATGAGAATAGCTGACATTTAAGAACATTATTTTTGGTAAATCAAATGACATATTTGCAATTCTATTCCACATAATACAGGGAGAAGCCACATAAAGGCTCAGATACAAAAATCCAGCCCACTGGCAAGAAAATGCTTCTGAAACTCAGTTTCCTATCATATCACAGGACCAAGCTACAGTACTGCAAAGGCTGATCAAAGATGGAAACAAATCCACAAAATACTGATAGGAAAAGTAGCAAAGTGTAACAAAATTCAGCAGATATGCTTTTTCGCCCTAGGCACAGCTCAACAGGTTCTGCCATCAGAAAAGCAAAGGCCTCTCATAATGCTTAGCAACGTCTGTTCCCAGTGTATTCTAGCACCATCAATACCTACCATTATCTTCCTGTAGACAGCCATGACATTGTCATCATCAAAGGGGAGAAAGCCACACAGTAGAGCATACAGCAGTACTCCCATGCTCCAAATATCTGCCTAAAAAATAAGAGTGGAAGTTCATGAACCTGATCTATCTAAAATGGCTTAGAGACAGGTAATATTGTCCCCTTTGGCAATGTCCACATACAAGTCATGAAAAGTAGGCTCCTTAATTCTGTACAGAACTCTTATATTCCAAGTGAAAGCACACAACCCAAATTCAATTTTCAATTCACTCAAGCTAGAGCACTAGTAAAACCAATATCCTCTCCTTAGGTCATCAGATTGCTGCATTACCTTCAATCTACAAGGATTTCACTGGCAAAAATGAAATCAAACTCATCACAAGGGATTTAGTATGGTAATGTATTACTTATTACAATAGCTGTCAGCACAGTTACAATCAACTTTAAAGCCCTACTGCTTCTTCTCTATTTGTACAGGCACAACAAAGTCCACATGCCTCATACTGTAATTCCCACTTAGACCATAAAGAAGAAGGAGGCTTGGAAAGCATTGGACTTCATGGAAAACAAAAACAAACAAACAAAAAAAGAAAGCAGGAGTTAGAGGCCAAGGACAGTAGTGCAAAGGTATGTAAAAGGAAAAAAGACTGACTCCATCCAACAGCACAGCAATTTAAGAAGTTTGAGGGGATTGCAATTACAGCATTTTGGATGGATTCACAGAGGCAAGTAGCAGGTCCTAATGTTCTAGACATGGAACCAAAGTTGGATAAACTCTACACTTTTTCTTCTCTCAAATTTTACTACACTGCGCAGTACAAAGAGAAGAAGTTTTCATACACAAATTTCAAGCTAAAGACAGGCCTGGTAAAGCATACAAGATACTGAGACTGCACAGAAATTTGCAACAAGAGTTGTTGGATAATTAACAGAACAAGTCGCTGCTTGAAGAATGTGCAGAAGGAAGGAGTTTAAGTTACTGTTCGTAGGGCACTAAAATATGGAGCAACAAATGGAGATAGCGAAGGATTAGTCAGAGACGAACTAGCCAGCTACATGACCAGTGGCCAAGACCACTATGTGCTATTCCAGGCTGTGACTATTGAGGCTAGTCACACAACTTCTGAAAACTACCTAGGCAACGTTATCCAGCAGTACTCAAGAGAGAAACCAACCTCACCACTTTTAAATATACAGGGTGAGGGGGGAAAAACCCACCTAACCCAAAACTGTGCTACGTACCTCTGAGCCAATATATGCTTTGCCCTGAATCAGCTCTGGGGCTGCATAAGCTGGGCTTCCACAGCATGTGTTCAGATGGTAATCAAGGCCACCCTAGAATAACACAGAAAACCCATCACACAGAAGCATTGGCTTTAACACAGCTTAAGTCTTCCAGCAACAACACATTAGAGGCCTCAGAGGCTTCATTTTCCTCTGCTGTGCATCTACATTCACCTTATATTTTGCTTTGGTGTAATATATGGCTTCACTAGGCAAAAATTGTCTAAGAACATGAGTATCCTATAAACGTTCAGATCCCAAGCTGCTCATTCAGCTATTTAACCTAGCAGTCTTTTCCACAGCTCCTCCTCCAATAAGAATACTTCCCTTTACGACTGCGAAGAGACAAGAGATGGAACTTGGGAAGAAGTAATCCAAGAGCTACTGGGCATGAGGCTAGCTGGTTATTTACACCAATATTTAATGCAATAACTTCATGAAGAACCACTAAAAATACTTCCTTATTAAAACCATGTTATTACTTCGCCTGGGCTTTGTTGTAAGCAGATCAGAGTAAGATGACATTATACCACCAAGATGATGGTCTAATAGTCTTGATTGTGTGCAAAACGCTTTAACTTGAGTCAAGCAAAATGATCTGAGGACAAGTAATTGTCTTTGGATCAGTAAGACATTCTTCCCATTAAATTGTTTCTTAACAGCACCCACCTTGCACGTTAAGCTGACAAATAGAAAAGGCTCCTGGAAACCAATTTTAAACTTGGGGAAACAACTCAGTACAAGCATATGGAACCAGAGGATTTGTAAATGTAACTGGAATAAACTATTTGCTTTGATCCACAATCTCCACATACATACAAATCTTTTGGAAAAAAAAAAAAAAAAGACATACACCACTGAAACTTATTAGGGAAAAATGCACACCAACATAAGCTTTATATAACAGGTCTTTATATGTGACAGCAGATGCTATACATAAAAGACGATAAAATATGATGTGTAAGAGGAGAAAATGATCTAACAGTCTGGTCATAACATGCAGTTAACTGCTCCTTCACAGAGTTAAGGCCCTACCAAGTAATTAGTGACTGGATGACAACTATGCAAACAGGTTGAATTTAGGGTCTTTGGGCAAGTCTCTGCATTGCACTCTGAAGTCAAACATGCATTTTTTATGTGCGTGCAGTAGCTGATTTAGCTCTATTCTGTGAAAGCAACTGATACTCTTACCTTTGGCTTTGCACAAAGTCCAAAGTCTATCAGCTTCAAATTATGTTCTTCGTCAATCAGCAGATTTTCCTGGTAAAAGAGAAAGTGGTAATAAATGCTTCTATAACCTAATTATCCAAGGAACCACATTTTCTTTCACCTTATTTCTTCTTGTCATTAGCAGCCAGAATTTACCTAAAGCTCTCCTCTGGAGATTTTGATCGGTTGCTAATGAATATTTCCCATATTCCAGATGGGGAATGCTAGTTCCTATCTGCTGAGAAGGGCCTGGGGCAGGGGGTGAGGTGTTGGTAGACAGCAAACTGAACAAGAGGCAGCAGTCTGCTCTGGCAGAAAAGGCAGCCAGCAATATCATGGACTGTATTAAAAGGAGCACAGCTAGTAGATTGGGAGAAGTTACTCTAGTCTAGCACAGCTAGACTAGTGCATCTAGTTTCTGCCCCTCCCAGCACAGGAAAGACATCAAACTGAAGTAAGCTCAGTGGATGGCCACCAGTCTGCTCAGGGGGCTGGAGCACTTGCTCAGTGAGGAGAGGCTGAGGGAAAGACATTTGTTCAGCCTGTAGATGAGAAAGCTTCAGTGGAGACCTCATGGCAGCCTTTTAATACCTACGAGGAGGTCATGAAGACAGAGCTAGTCTCTTCACAGCAGTGCATGGTGGGATGACAGACAACAGGCATCAAGAAACATTCAGACTGGAAATAAGGAAAAGCCTTTCTCCTCATAAGGACAGTGAAAAGCTGAACAGGGTGCCCAGAGAGATTGTGCTGCCTGATCCTCGGGAGAGGTCGACAATGTGACTGGGTAAAGCCCCAGGAAGCTTGCCTGACACTGCTTTGAGCAGGAGGTTCAAGAACAAGCTTAAAGAAGTCAATTCCCACCCAAGCTGTCACATGATCCTATGAATACGTCAGCTCTCCAGCTACAAGCCAACTCTTTCCAAAAGGTACATACAATGCTTTGTTTGGGGAGAAGTTCTTTGGAGATAAAGATTTCATGAGCTGTCTAGGAAAACGCTTGTGCGCTAAGAATTTGCTTTTCTCAGAGATGTCAGCATCTCCAAAAGCAAATTTCTAACCCCTTCAAGGACAAATGGACTCAAGTCTTCCATTCCCTAAACCTATGCTTAAACTCTGCAATGACAGCAAAGCCACAGGATGGGTCCGGTAGCATGCATCTCCCCTTGCACCCTCTGTCTAGCCACCACTTGTTTAAACTATCGGTGTCACTTTTTCCTTCGGGCATGAAAACAGAACGGTTTGCACAATGAAATGGCACCGTAAAGACTCTCTCCAGGTACAAGCTGGAATAAAGGGAATAACAAAAACGCCTAAGCAACATTCAAAGTCAGATCCATGTCTCTGCTCCACTCGCAGCTAGAGCATGTTGTTCTGCTTCTCTTTCAGAGGAAGCGCCTTCCTCAGATATAGCCACATCCAGCTCAGCTGAGGAACACAGTAGCAAGTAGAAATAATGCTCTTTCAGAAGATGTTAGATGAAGATCTCTAAGCACAAGAGAATGGCAAAGGCATAACTTACTCCGGCTCCTAATGGAAAAATAAGAGAGGGTGTTCGTTATTATTTATGCAAATCTGACTAATATTCAGGCTTACTGGTTTGAGATCCCTGTGGGCATATCCCTGACTGTGAACATAAGCAATTGCTGAAACAATCTGCCGAAAAAATACACGAGCTTCCTCTTCTGAAAGGCGGTCCTTAGAAATTATGTAATCAAACAGCTCTCCTCCAGGACAGTACTGCATGAAGACAGGAAAGAGAGAATACATTTAGAATACAGTAATGAAAGCTAAACAACAAGAGCACTGGACAGCGACTTAGAGGATGCTCTTCCATTCCCTTTGCTTTATCACAGTAGCACCCAAGTGTCCCCACATGTGCCCTAGGTCAGCACTGCAGCAGACCAAACAAGCTGAGAAGTCTGACTCTTGCCTGAAGCGTTGCAACAGATACATCACACTAACATCACAGGCGATACAGATTGCCCAGGAGGCGACAACCATGTGGCAGTTCCAGGGTCCCGCACATCCTGCTGATGCTATTTTAAAATAACTGAAGTGCAAGGTAGGACTTAGTTATTTCACTTATTGTAAACAGCAAAGAGAGGCTTTTACAAGAAGACAGAACATAGAACATATTACCAGCTTCATTTTTAAACTAAAGCATCTTGAACATGCTCATCATTGAGATAACTTTTTAAGAATTGCTTCGTTTGAACTCTGTTATCATCTACCGCTACAGCTAAAATGAGGAACCTTCGCCATGGCAGAAACACCATTTCTTACCTCTAAGACCATGAATATTTTCTTGGATGTCTCTATCACGTGATACAACTGGCAAACATGCTGGTGACTTAAGTTCTTCATGGCATCAATCTCTATTTTAACACGAGGCAAGTCATCCTAAGAGACCACAACAGCAAGCTATGAAATTGCCAACTACTTTGACAGCCTGTACATCACAGTAAGCATCAGCCTATCGTGCAACACAAAATTTCACAGTATGTATATGAGTGCATACAATTCAACTTCTCAAATTCAATCCAGCAACAACTCTGCCATTAATCCCCTACAATTCTGGCACATTGATCAGCAAAACCCAGAGGGGCAGATGTAAAATACCTAGTATACTCATCAGCATTCTGTTTGAATTACTGTAATAATCTTTAACTTCCTCAATTCTACAGCCAGAGAATGTTGCTCTGTCCACAAAAGGGCATAAGGTTTGTGGTCTTCTGCTAAAATTCTTTCAATAGCCAACAGGACAAGCAGGCAGCATTTTGACATGTCGCACCCCTGTGTTCTTGAGAACTCCACAAGAACAGCAGAAGACGCTACCAACTTTTAAGTACCTTTTGGCTTACCCCTAAAGCAAGCTTGTCCATGATTTTTATTGCAACTTTTTCACCAGTGAGAAGATGTTGCGCAAGTTTTACCTTTGCAAACCCACCTAGAATTCAAAAAAAGAGATGTTTAAAGCTCAGTGTGATGACATACTTTCTTGCCTATCTCAGTTACATTGGAGTACATAGCATGCATAGCGTGCAGCATCTTCATTAGAGGAAGAAGTGATCACTAGAGTTCTGCCCCCCAAAACAGACACTTGAAACATGACCTATAGATTCTGCAGTAACAGTTAATCTATGCTCAGATAACTACCGAAGTGGTTAGACAGATCGCACGTGTCTGTTTGCATTCACAGATTAAGCCTACCTGTTCCAATTGTTTCATGTAATTCATAGTACTTGAGAATTTCCTCGTAGTCACCTACAGCCATTCTGAGAGGAACGGGGATCTTGCAATTCTTCTCAGCACCTGTAAGGAGAAAGCATAGCCAGTGTCAATGCTTTTCTACTCCGAGCAAACTCGTAGAAAGGAAAAGCACGTT